ATTGATGGGTGTTTCTCGTGCATATTCTAGTCTGTATATTAAGTATTACACTATTGTTACAACAAGAAGTATTGAATGAGTAGATAGAACGATTAATTCCTCATTGTGAGGCTACAAGTCATAGGAATCAATGGCAATTAGGATGTCGATTGGTTATAACGCTTGTGGTCTTGACAATATGAGCCCTAGACTGCACTCAGTTGATAACAAACTCTTCGTGAACTCCAAGCCTCCAGCTGCTCAACTACCCTTCGTTTCCTACGCTAGATCATACTGGTCGTTGGCTCAGGTATTTTTCAATACGTTGAGAATTCTAGGTGCTGTGAACTGCCGGGTGGGGCTAGCCCTGGAGTGGAGAACTCTGCGGATTATATCAACATGGCTGCCGGAATGCTGATCGATCCCGCTGATCGCCTGCCGCACCCAATATCTGGCCGATTTGCGTAATCATGCGTGCGCTACCCGGATTTCCAACTGGGTCACCCATCGCTCTACGTAGACCTGCAATATCTTACTAGGGTCGGCGTTGATGTCGAAGGGGATAACTGGTACACCATGTAAGGGCTGATCACTTGCATTGATACCACTTTTGATGCTGTCGGCGCTAGACGGGCTGGGCATAGCATCTTCGCGAGTCTCCCAATCTGTATCACATCTATCATAGATCTACTTAGACTAGCCATGGCAGCCGAAATAAAGGCCGAGATGATCCCACCCGTGACCAATGCGCTGATGGCCCATGCCGCGAGTGACTACCCGCTCTAGAACGCACATTTTCTTTGTCTATTTACTGGCTGTGGTACGTCCTGCACGCTGATTGCTTGCCTAATGTTTCGTTGGGCCGGGCTATAACGGGGCAGTATCCTCAAATTGTTGAACATAACATGGCACTCGTCGATGATGATACGCTCTAATCAGTGCTGGATCCGCGGTAAAACCATGCGCTAGTGCGGAGTCAAATGCGGTCAGCACAGTCCAAGAATATTGACATCGTCCGATATTACCCCGTAATGCGATAAATAGGACCACCATCTTCCACCAGCAGAGTCCCACCAGGGCCCCGTATGGGCAACGCGAATAAAACACGGATTCCACTGCCAGTGCAGATCACCGTAGCGATCAGACTGCCCCTACTGTATGGTCTCGATAGCCGAACCTTGCCTCCTGCCTAAGCTGGTTACCCAGAGGCTTTTGGAGCTCTGGCTGCAAGGGCAAATTGTGGAATCTAGCCACTTTCTCGGAACTTAGAATCAACATCTTAGACATCAAATTTATGAACATGAATTAACATGAATTGACTAGCTAATACGTTTGGGATAATTGTTGTATGTATGCCCTTAAGCTTTACACCCAAAGCATGTCACAAGACGCCGAATGAATGCCATAGGGGAAAGCGTAGGTTCAACCGCAACTTCTACAGCAGCATCGGTATGTCACCATAGCCGTGTCTAGACCTCGCCAATACCGTGGGCGGGTTGTCATCTGGGCAACCCAGTACCCGTTTTAACCCAACAAAGCAAAAACAGTTGACTTGTCAGTTTACATTTAGTTATGCAGTAAGTAATTTACGATTATATATTTGTATCGCTTTTGTTTGAGCTCATGGTATACGGCTAGGAGTATTCGGAACAACTATTACGGACAAAGGAAAGTACGATTGGCTTATGATAAAGACTAGTATACCCCATAACCACGTAATCGAATCGAGGGTATTATTACCCTACTAGAAGATCTTTTCTGGCTTCTATCACTCAGTTGCGTGGTTGGGGTGGAAATAATTCTGCATCATCTTCAACTATCTCCTTCTTCTACTATTCTAAAAACTCTCTACCTAGATTCGGCTTTTACAAAATTCATTTCGTTCTATATTGAGATCTAAACACATTTTAGTGTCGCTGGAGGTCTCTAAGTGGTTATATCGTAGCTTTTGCGGGGTTCACTGAAAGGTTACAAGCTGTCTTAGTATACCTGTAGGTTGTAGGTAGTCTTGTAAAGTTCAAAAGTATCGAGGAAGGCCTATCCGATTTGGAAATCAAATTTTTTATTATGAAGGTTTAAATATAGATTTTGTAGAAATTGTGTCGGGCGGTTTAGATCTATCTATTTCTAAATCGCGTGGACCTACGGGTATCCTAAATCCAACCCAACCCAACCCAAAACGAATACGAGTTTGAGAGAACACTAAGAAGATCGCAAATCGCCGATTTATTTGTTCAAATTTGAGATGATTAACTTAAGACAGTCTGATAAGCTCGAAATTCATTGAATCCTTAGAGTTTTATCGCGGTGGCCATAGAGTCCTGGTGGTGTAGAGAAAACGTAACCAACAAAATAACTGGACGTTGCAAATATATATTTTCAAATCGGCAGCGGAGATTACCTTACAACAACACACACCCAAATACAGTGGCATTTCATAAGTATTTGCACCATGGTACTTCGGTAGACCCACTATTATTAGATTTTTCTGCCGGTATAAACCTCATGAATTTAATAGCTAGTATGCCACCCTTCATGTTTAATGACATCTTCCACGCGATGCGGCATAGTCTATGCTAAATTTACAAAATGATGCACCGTCAGATTCTCCCATGCATATTGTGCTGAATCCACTAACTCTGCCCATGTTATATCATTATTAGGCATCTCACGTAACCAAGGTCGTAACCTTAGAATATCAGCTTTTAATAATGCCCAGATATTCTCGATAGGGTTAAGATCAGGTGAATAAGGAGGCCAATCCATCACATCAATATTCATTTCACGTAAGAGTTCTTGAGCAATATACGCAGTATGTGTAGGCGCATTATCTTGCTGACAGATAGCATCATCATTCGCAAGTAATGTCGGAAGGATACCACAATAAAGATGATAAATAACCTCTCTTGTGATACCTTTTCGTTCTGCATTTGGATCTCCATGTAAAGGAATAAGACCATTTTTTCGTGGTGCTCCTGAGAAGCAGGCCCAAAACATTTGCTTAGTCTGTTTCCCCTTTGAAGGTGCCATTTGAATGCTTGAAATTCGATTTTAAAGCTGTGCTTTAGGAGGAATAAATGTCCACTCCTTTCGAGCACCTTGTCCACGTTCAATTGTTGTTTCATCTGACCAAAAGACTCTTTTCCAATCATCTGGTGTAAAGTGACGATAGATAAAAGCCCAAGTAAGACGTTTAGCAGCATGAATAGGCGTAAGGTAAGGCCGATCCATCTTTCGCCATTTTCGAAGACCCATTTCATGCGTCAGACGCCAGATTGAGGTAGCTTTGACCTTATTATCAACCTCAGCAAGAAGATCTTCATGTGTAATATCAGGTTTAGACTGGATAGCATCATACACACGGTCTCGATCTTCTTCAGTAAGTTTCCGAGAAGCACCTAAGCGAGCTATTGAAACACCATAACAGCGATTTGCCTCCTGACATAGGGTATAATGAATGGTTGAGAGAGGGATATGTAGATATGCATATTTTTGAATACGTCTTGCGCCCCATTTTGCAGACCGCTTTAGCTCGCATATGCGCTCACGAACATAGAGTGGGAGCTCAGGGCCCCGTGCCATAGTATATAGGGATATATACAGAGAAGAAAGGGGGGGATATATGCAGAGATGAAGGAGGGGGGGGGGTGTTCACTAGAATACGCGTCGCGTGTGGCTCATACTAGCCTAAATAAGAAGGCGGTATGAATGGCGGTCAAGGGTGGAAGTACCACAGTGCAAATACTCATGAAATATGACTGTATGTGACAAAAGTAAAATACCAGAATTACAGCTGGTGACTAATCAATTGTATCCACGATTTATGTCCATTTTTGGGTATTTTAGGCAACCCGCGGGTACCCGCCAAGAACCCATGGGCGGGTTTATGAAGGCCAAAACCCACGGTGGGCTACCCGTGGGCGGGTAAAGAAAGTCAAAACCCAACCCAAACCCGCGTTTGGCGAGGTCTACGAGTACTAGCCGTGTCATAAGAGTACCCCACCTAGCAGCCCTGCAAGTGGAGGTCCACTTCTTGAGTCTCGGGCATACCATGGCCACGAACGTCATTGGGAATCTGTCCGTACTTGAACCGGTCGAAAATAAATACCTGATATACCTCGTACTGTTATACTCTTAGTTGTTCTTGGGAGACCATATGTGCGATACAGGAAGAACAAGTTCCTACTAGCCTCTTTCTTCACCAACAAGTATCGACTGGGAAGATATTAGAACAAATTTGGAGCATGACTACTCCGCAATCACGGCTTTACATACTAATCAATCAACCATCAAGCCGTGGAGGTAAGAGAGGGGTCCAATCTCAGGAAGGAAAATTTGGTAATATTTAGACAATTCCATACTTGTATACACATAACTGTTCATGTTTACATAGTCATACATGTAGGCATATATGTGGTTGTGTTCCGAATGCATTAAATATTTCGAAAACAATATCAAGTCATTTAATTGTTGTTCTTGAAATAGAGAATCCCCCACGAAGCAGGTTCCCAGGTTGCACATGTCTGCTATGTGAAAAATCAAATACCAGAGACCCCTAACCCACACCAAACTTGCAACCGGTGAACAATCGGTTGTCTCATACTGTAAATATGAGGCCAAATCTATGAACCTGTAAACAGATTCAATCATTTTCCTGTCAGACAGTGAAAGAAGTGAGGTGTTTATTGAATATTATTGGCCAGACTACAGACTGCCACCCCAAGTCACGCGCATTTCCTAATACCTAGACATCCCCCATAAGTCCAAGTCTATTACAAAAATTGAATTCGCCCTGCTAGCTAAATGTACTTCCTCGGCTGCCTTTTTCACAATATGTCGACCGATAGTTTTTGCTTAGACCTTTTCCGACCCTGGAAATCCTTTCCAAGACAAGGCGCAGCCTCTGCGGGATTCTCTCGATATTTTTCGTTATCCGAGTCCTGTCTCGATCACTACCACCTCGCCTCCCTCCAATTCGAGCAACCCAGCTTCTAGAGGGAGTCCAAGGTGTTCAAGTATCACTAAAACTCGCTCGTCTGTTCGTCATCCCAGCCTTCCTTGATCTCGGCTGCTACCCGCACAAAGAGAAGATCAAGAACCAAGGCCGCAACACCCATGCCAATAGCCAGATAGAGGGCATTTCGATAGCCTTGCACCGTGTCTGTATTGTGAAGCATAGTATACTTCTCAACGGTACCTGCAAAACCAAGTCCGATACTCATGCCATATGTCATAATAGTACCGATCAAGGAGCCCGCAATTCCCTGCTTATCTTTGCCAACAGAGTTACTGGCAACGATCTGAGCTGCAGTGAATATGAAATCGGGGCAGAATGCCATGAGAATAGCTGCCGGGAACGCTTGTGGCCAGTATGACTGTTGGGCAGGCATGGTTGCTACAAGGGTCGTCGAAACGATAATGCAGAGGGCACCAATTGCCAGAATGTACTGAGATGCAAGTCGCGGAACAAGCCATGATGACAAGACTGCTGCTACCGCACCTAGAACTGTCAATGGTGTAACACCAGCGGCAGCCAGCAATAGAGACCAGTTGCGGATGGTCAAGAACCAGAGTGTCAGGTACCAGATCAGAGCACCGAATGCCATGAATGCAAATAGTGCAACAATCATCAGTACGCCGAAGGAGGGCGCTGTCCAGATATTAAGAGGAAGAAGCGGATATTTGGCAAACTTGCCTTCCCAGGCAATGAAGGCTACCAGATGGGCAAGTGCAACAATAAGCAACGCATATTCGTACGGGTTCTGCCAGCCGACCGATGGAGCTTGGCTATGAATTTTGTTAGGGGCGTTTATCACGAGGAGAGCACCGTACCTACTTCCAAACAAAATTGAATAGAATTAAACCCGTAACACCAAGATAGGCACCAACCCAATCCATGGACTCGTTGAGATTCGATTGTCGTTCTTCCGAGTCTACAACCAGAGCGACTATACCGAAGTCAACAGCACCAAGTATAGCCCTATTTAGTTAGCATTGTTGTACCTAAGGGTTAGGAGATAACAAACAAAAAGAAAAAAAGCCACTTCCACGGGGTAAGCTGAACAAAGATCCCTCCAAAGACACTGCCACCTGCTGCTCCGATAGGTGCCATTGCACCGAAGAGTCCCACGGCGATGTTTCGAGACTTGCCCGGTGGAAGATTGATACCAATCAAGGCAATCGCATTGGGAACCATGAAGCCACCTCCAACTCCTGTCAAACCTCGAGCAATACACACACCAACAATGTTGGGCATGAAGCCATTGATCAGAGACCATGTCACCCACCACACACCGGACAGCACCAGTATTCTTTTGTGCCCATACAACGCTCCGATTCGACCTCCGACCAGCACAAACGCTCCTTGGGTAAGTCTAATAGCTGTTAGCACTGCTCAGTGGACCCAGGCGCTATACATACGGATATGACGCAGCAATCCATGCCGAAACATCCTTTCCCACTCCTAATTCCTCGCCGATCCGATTCGCTCCAACAATCCCAGCTCCGAATGGGATCATCTTTAGGATCTGTTAGGTATTTCATCTTTTCGGAATGCGCATAATGACTTACCTGAACCAGCTGAGTCGATACAATGGCACATATGACGATTGCCTCTCTCAACTTGCTTTTTGGGGCGGGCTGACTGGTCGAAATCATATTCTCCCGTTTTTGATCTGCATCCGGAGCAGTGTTGGGCTTTTCATTCGGACCCACTGAGTCCATTTTCACTGTAGTAAGTTATATCGTATGTAAATACTCAAAGATTCAGAAATTTTTGGGCAAAGAGCGACTGACTGTACGAAATGCGTTCTTTTAATGTTCAGTTCACGCATAACCTTTACTGCTGATCAATTTTCGGGATCCCATAGCCGAAATTTTTGATTAGAAGTATCATTAGAGGGGTTGACACCATATTGATAGAATAATCAAGTGAGAATAATGTCCGTAGTATGTATGCTGATTGGCCAGCTCCAAGATATTTTGATCAGTCTAGGGTTCGTTTGCCGATGACCCACTCGATTATTTGATCAACTTGCACCAGAAAGGCATTAGATGATACGCTAGACCTAATATATATTACATGTAAATCGCACGTTCATCCGTACGTGGTAATAATACCTGGTCATATATACCAAGCGCCGTAAATCAGAAACATCTGCAGCTCTACATAAAGAGCTAATTTTGTGCTTTGGATAGCTGATACAGATAAAAAGGTCCTACCGTTTTGCTCCAGGCATTCTGGGAGCATTGAGAGTGAATTGGTGGCATGACGGGTGGTTGAATAAAGAGAGTCTCATTACGTGACGCGTTTTTGGGTGGGGTGCCAAGCTCGCTTTGGGAAACACGCTTTCGTCAGACTAGGAGATTGGGTTTACGGGTAAATTTGGCCCGAACACACCTAGATCGCAACCTTTTTTTAGAATGAATCATAAGTATGTTGCCAGTGTATTTCAAGGGGAATGTGCAAATGCCTAGATGAAGGATTCAGGGTGCTCATCTGTGCGTGCATGAATCCTGCTTATTCATCGATTATTTTACCCCCACCCCGAGATAAAAATTCTACCAAATCCATGTGAGATACAACTCAACCAGTTCTTTATATTCATAATTCCATTAGGTTTATTACAGGGAAACATATTGAAAATGGATCCACATGCGCAGGTCGACATAGATACACGGCTAATGGTAAGTTCACGCATCCGGAAAGTGCTGCATAGCTCATACTTTACAGAAACGCCGTGAACAGCTTCGCATCTCGCAGAATACCTACCGTCATCGAAAGCGACAAGAGCACGACCGGTTACAAAAGCGCGTGGACGAGCTGGAAAATGGAGTGTACGACATCAATCATAAATTTCTCAACATCAGCAAATTGTTACTGGACACGCAAGCGACCAAAAATCGTCCCCATTTATCGTCGGCCTTGCGAGACGTGACTGAACAATGCCTTTCACTAGCAGAGATAGTGCAGGCGTCCGCATCAGCTTCCCGGGAGATTCCAGAAAATGCTTCTAGTCATTCCGATGGTTCACAGGTAAATGACCTAGTGGACCAGTCTTACATGAAACAAATGGTAGACTGCAAACCGATGCCAAGCAGAGCTGATATAGCACAAGTCAATGAATGGCCGCCCTTGTATCAATATTCTTTGAAACGTGTTATGTTGGACAGGCCATCTTCGTTTGGCAACCACTCTATTTTGCCTATTTCACCGACTTCCACTCTGCCTCCACAGCTCGCTCAGACCTTCTATCCAGGTGAAGGGGCCGATTTCACGCACCGTTTGGTTCGTCAATGCTGCCTCACTGCATATCAGTTACTGGTACATATGCCAGATCTCCCAAGAACCCAGGAGATATTTGGGTATATACCACCTCCTTCAAGCCGAAGCCAGATGGCCAGCTCTCTTTTCAATGCAATTCTAGGAGACGATCTGGAGAGCCTTCAGAAAAGAGCTCAGGCTCTGTCTTCCTTGGATTCTAGAGACATCACACCCCCGACTATTCCACTTGCCTCAGGTTCGACCAAACTGGCAATTGAAAGCTTCACCATGAGATGGTTGGATGCTTACGGAGTACAAAAAGCTCTTTCCGACAAAGAACTCCGAATGCAAGAGGGTATACTTACATTCGAGGCATCCCCTCCAGGGTCGGTTTCGTCCTCTATTCGCCCTGATTTAACAGCGTTCATCAATTGTAAAACCCTTGAATCTAGTGCTCCATTGATATACAAATACTAACGCAATTTAGTTCTTGTCGACCGAGCTATTTGTGTTGGTCCCGGGCCTGCATTCAGGCGGGAGACTGTGAATATGGCGCTGGAATTTGCTAGTGCTGAACGATTATGAATCATGGGATGTATCAATTTTTCCCAAGAGAGGAATTATTAAGATTGATCAATCATTGCCGGAATAATAGTAAGGAACGTTGATATAGACTTTCACTTGTAGAAGCCTAGCGATCCGAATACACCTCCAGATATCGGTATCATGGAAATTGATATTTCAACTTGACACGTGATAAGGGGCCATGCGTTGGGAGTAACACAAAATTCCCCTGCGGTTGTTCCATATTCCATCGCCCTCAGTAAAGGAAAGAAGCGATATGTTAAGGAGGAGATTCCTAGGTTTGGAGTCAGTGGCAGATAGTATTATTTTTATCTTCCTTTTCGTTTTGATATTCATGTGTGAAGCTATGTGATGCGGTATATGCAATATACTCCTGGAGGGCTTTTTAAAGATTGTTTTCGGAGAACATATTTTGGATAGTAAAGAGATTCAAAGAAAATCATGGTAGAGCAAGAGAAGGGCCTCAGGGCTTTGAATTTATGTCTTTTTCTTGAGACTGACATAGGTTCAGACTCAGTTAGCCCCTATCACCCCAAGGGTGAGAATTGCCACTCCGTTCTCACCTCTCACCCCAGTCTCGAGACTTCTCACCTATATCACCCGCACTCACCCTAGAGTGTTGCTTAGGTGCTGAGTACACATTGACTATTGACTGCGCGGAATAATTGGCTTATGTGCGGTCAATAGTTCGGTGGGTGTCACCCGGGTGAGAAATGGGTGAGCGCCGCTTTACGGTCGCGCGATCGGGGGTGACAAGGGTGAGTGCGCTATAGACAGGGTACAAAGCTGGGTGAAAATCATCTAAGTCGTACGACCCGCACTGACCTTCTTCTTGGCAGAGATATAATGTGAATTATTGGACTGTCCAAATGCTTCTGAAACGCTAGGTGTCTTAGTATTTATACATAGCTACTACTAACTAAGAAGTTAGATCAATTTCCTTTTGCGAAGAGTACTTTAGTTCTTCGGTAGGATCCGTATCGCTTTAGATAGTCTTGTTTAGACTAGCTATAATATTATATATATTTGTTCCTAGATATTTCTTTTGGTATATATTGTTCTAAGAAGAGTTAGTTTTAGCTGCTATCTTTTTTCTCTATATTTTTAGTTTATATTAACAAGTACTTTTGTAAAATAAATATTTTTACATTAAATAGTTGTCTTCTGTTTAGTCCTTAAGTCTAGGTCTTTTTGGAATAGTATTATATAGATAGGGTTTATATAAATAATAGTAAGTTTATAGTCTTCTATTTTTTTTTTTTTAGATTATTCTTTTATGTTTAAATCTTTTGTTAATATAATTATAAATAACTTTAAATTATTTAATATTAAATTTAATAGAATCCTTATTTAATTTAATTATATCTTTAATAAAATTGAAATAAAACTTTTTATTAAGGATTATATAGTATATTTTCAATATTTATATTTGTTTATAATATTTATAATTTATAAACTATTTAATATTTAATATTAAATAGAATAAAAAGAGATAGTTAATAATATATTTTAAAATAATATATATTTTATTTAGAGTAGTATTAAAAACTATTTATTATTTATTTTAGTCTATATTTTACCGTTTGATTCTATTAGTAAAAGTTAGTAATACAAAGATTATAATAATTTATCTATTAAAAATAAAGAATTTAGTAAGAATAATAAAATATCTAATAAAAATAATGATTAATCTAGTAATAATAATAATTAATTTAATAATAATAATAATCTATCTAATAATAATAATAATTTATCTAATAATAATAATAATCTATTTAGTAATAATAATAATTTATTTAATAATAATAATAATAAATTTAATAATAATGATAATAAAATTAATAATAATAATAGTAAATCTAATAATAATAATAGTAAATCTAATAATAGTAATAAATTTAAAAAAACTTAAAGAAACTTTTAATATTATAATCTAAATAATATAAATTTTATAAATTGTTAAATATTAATATTATCTAAACTTTAAAAAGTTTTAATATAATATATAAAAGATCTATAGAATATTAATAATAAAATCTATTAGAATTCTATTTAAATAACTAATAGATTATTATTAGTTTTTTTTGAAATATATAATAAAAGAAAAGATGCTAAACTATTTATATTATATTAATAATTCGAACTATATAACTTTTATTTTCTAATAGTTGATTTAGATTACTATATAAAAAAAAAAAAATATAGGAATATATTTTTTAATCTTATTAAATAGATAAAAAATTAATGATTATTATTAGAATTAAAGTAAGATAAATTTAAAAAATATTTGAATAAGTTTATTAGATTTGGTAGAAAGTATAGTAGATAAGTAATAGAATTAAATAGTTTAAATTATTTACTTACAATACTTTTAAATATTATAGAGAGAGAATAAGTTGGATTTAGAT